AAAGAATTAACTTAAATGAATCCTGATGGCATATAAATTTGCTTAAAATAAACCAAAGACATAAATGTAAACTTATATGTGTATAATTGTAGAAGTTTGGTTGAGGCAAATCCTTCTTACATATGACTATAAAAGCAGGATCCATAAAAAAATGAATTGTAGTGTGTTTCCATCTCTCTTCTTTTTTCTTCCCTTCCCATATGTTCATCTGTTTTGTTTCTTAAATTCTACTTATAAGGGAAATCATGTGGTATTTGCCTTTCTCTGATTGACTTATTTTGCTTACCATAATGTGTTCTAGCTCCATCCATGACATTGAAAATGACAAAGTTTCATTCTTTTTGATGGCTGAGTAATATTCCATTGTACATACATACTACGTCTTCTTCATCAGTTCATCAGTTAATGGATATGTGGGCTCTTTCCATAGTTTGGTTATTGTTAATAATGCTGTTATAAATTTAAGAGTGCATGTATCTCTTGGAATCTGTATTTTTATATACTTTGAATAAATACATATCTAATACTGAAATTGCTGGATTGTAGAGTAGTTCTATTTTTAGTTTCTTGAGGAACAATTTATACTATTCTCCAGAGTGGCTGCACCAGTTTACATTCCCACCAACAATGCAAAAGGGTTTCCCTTTCTCTGCTTCCTCACTAACACCTGTTGTTTGTCCTGTTGTTAATTTTAGCCATCCTGACAGGTGTGAGGTGGTATCTCATCATGGTTTTGACTTACATATTTCCCTGATGATGAGTGATGTTGAGCATCTTTTTGCATGTCTGTTAGCCACCTAGATGTCTTCTTTGGAAAAGTGTCTATTCATGTCTTCTGCCCATATCTTAACTGGATTGTTTTTTGGGCGTTGAGTTTGATAAGTTCTTTATACATTTTGGATACTAACCCTTTATCCGATACGTCATTTGCAAATATCTTCCCCCCTTCCTCCACTGTCTTTTAGTTTTATTATCTCCTTCACTCTGCTGAAGCTTTTTTATTGTTAAGTCCCAATAGTTCATGTTTGTTTTTGTTTCCCTTGACTTCAGTGAAGTATTTATCAAAAATTTAAAAATTCTCTTTGAAAGACACTCTTAAATATGACTCTAAAATTGGGATGCATAAAAATTCTAAGTTGCTATATAATCAAAATATTAAAATTCTTTGAAACACAATGTTAAATAAATGAAAAGCCAAGACATAAGCTGGGAGAAAAACATTTGCCAAGCATATAACTGATAATAGATTTACATCTAGAATCTCCAATGTTAAAACATAACATGAATGAACAGCAACAACATAATAAAATGGGCAAAATTTAGAACAGACATCACCAATATCCTAGGGAAGTGCAGATTTCCTAAGGAATTTCATTTCACATGTTAACATGATGCAATTAAATAGCTCACAATATAAGTGTTGGCAAGGATGTGGAGAAACTGGAACTCTCAAGCTTTCCTAATGGGAATATAAAATATTATAATTACTTTGGAAAACAATTTAGCAGCTTCTAAAAAAGTTAGGCCTACACCTACCATATAACTGAGCCACCCTAATCCTAGATATGTAACCAATATTAACAACAATAAAAGTATGGTGTCAGAAAAGTTTGTACAGGAATGTTCATACTAGCTTTATTAGTAATATAGCTAAAACCTCGAAACAACCCAAATGTTTAGCAACAGGGGAATAGAAAAACAAATCATGGTATAACCACAGAATGGAATCCTATTCAGCAAGGTAAGGAACAACATGAATAATTCTTGAAACAATTATGTTTAGTAAAAGAAGCCAGAGCCCCTTCCGCCCCCTCGCCAATATATACATTTCTCTTTTGTATATCTTTTGTTTTCTGAGTAACTCTACTTATATAAAATTTCAAAAAATAAAAACTAATCTATGTTAACAAAAAACAGATTAATAGTTGCCTATGATAATTGGAGATCAGCAGAGAGTGGTAGGAAGAGGAATTACAAAGCAGCATAAGGAAATTTAGGGGGTGATGAATATGTTTACTATATTGGTTGTGATGGATTCCCTGGTGTCTAAATATGTCAAAGCATGAGAAATTGTATGCTTTAAATTATGTGCCGTTATTGTATGTCAGTTATATGAACATACACATTAAATTAGGGCTCAAGCTGCCCCTCCCCCAAGTCTCATGAGTATTAAGAAAAAAAAGTAAATGAGGATTTCACAATTTTGCATTCTTATTCTAGATCTTAACCTTTTAATCACTGAAGTATATCATTATATCCGCTAGAGTCACAGGAAAAAACAATAATGAGTACTTTTTGGCACCCTTTAAGCCACGGAGTCCTAGCAAATCACTCTTGAAAGGTAGAAAGCTCAGATCTGAAGTGAACACTTGCTTTTTACAACCCTTTTCATTTATCACTGTCCACTCACACAGGGCAGTGTGGGGATGGGCACAGCATTATGTTGACGGCTACAAGTACTTTCTTTTTAAAACACATCCTTATGGTTTTGTGATTAGAACAAAATGAAAAGCCAATTGCTGTGACACTTATTTGTGTCTCTCAGGATATCCAGACAAGAAAACAGGTTCCGTCCATTTTGGAGAATGCCTAGACACTTGTACTGCAGCTCACTCCAAAGGTTAAAAAAATTAGAAGCTTCATGTTTATCATTGTTTCTGCTGCTTCCAAGATTTTAGTAGCTCAATTAGGCAGACTGCAAGCTTATGAGATTTATTTAAGTAAGGAGTACGTGGCATTATCTGTCCTTCGAACCTATAATGAGGGTATTTTAGCAGATGGAATCTAATTTATAACAAGGACCTATACCCTGGATAATGAAACATAGGCTATTAAGAGCTTACATAAACAAGGGCTGTAATGCAATGCCAAAACAAATCATTTTGACATGTTTTAGAAATACAAGGGGCTTCTTCAAATATCATCAGGAATAAGTCATTTGGTGTTTCAGGTTCATACATCAATGCAGTTGCTGTCACTATGAAAAATTGGACTTTTTGTTTACTTAAAATTTGAAATGCCATGATTTGGTACTTGAAAAATGGTGTGGGAAAAATGAATGTCCTCCTGTTTGTGAAAAATGGGTATTTTATTAGAGCAAAGTAGGAAGGAGGAGAGAGTAGTCATCTGTACTGGTAAAATAGTGTTTACACAGGAAGAAATATAACAATGGGCAGGTCACTGGGGACAAGGGGAGCAGAATCACTTAGGGAGCTGATGACAACAGGAGCCAAGAATATAGCTTGGGCCCAGAGCTGACCCACCTCTTGGTCCCTATACACACGTAATGAATAAATGCATCTTGAAGTTAAGACTCATATTTCATAGCTGCATGAGACTCCCCAGCTAGAATGCATCTGTTAATAATAAAAATTTCCCTTCTGGAATGAGAGTTTAATAGTTCTTGTTCATGCTTTAAATAGAAGATCACAGCAATAAATCAGCATTATGATTTTAGGAGGTAGTAATGTATGAAATATAATATATTGTTTCTGGCATTTACTTTGGTCAAAATTAACTTAAAATATTCACCCAAAGGGACAGATTGATAAAATAATAATTATAAACATACATCTTAGGAAATTGTGTACTTAGTGCATTCTAAAAGAACCATTAAATTTAACATATATATTATGTTTATTGTCTTGAGGAGAAAATATTGAATTATTTTATTCAACTTTAGAAGCCAAGTGTTTGTTTCAAATAAAAATTATCAAAACTAGTTGACACACTGTTTTACAACATGTTTTCATTATCCACCTAATAAATTTTGTTAGTTTAAACATATGAGGATAATTATTCAGTAAACTTTTTAAAGATAAACTACCTTTATGACTTCAGATGGGACATTTTAACTTACTTTAGATTTCTATGTCAATTCAGTTAAATTATTTCCATTCCCCATGTCAATCAATATACACACATGCAAAGTATCAAAATTATTAGATAATTCTCTTGATAAAAATTCATATGAATATATATAACAGATATAAAGTTGTACTTATGAAACACAAATATATAGGTAATATAATTTTAAAAAGATATTAGAAAGAAAGTTCTATATCTGATTTGTTTTTTATCTGTACCCGTACTGAATGCAATATATTGCAAAAGGAGGTACTTAGTAAGTATTTTTTGAGCTAATGAGAATAAATTAGTAAAAGAATGAATAAATAACTGGGCAATTATAAGATAATGTTGGCAGAGAATCTGATGTGCTAGACTCATATCTCTCACTGATTCTTCCAGTCCAGCATATTTAGAACACCCTATTTTGAGAGAGGAATACAGTATTAAGACGTGAAACACAGATTAGGTCCTTTTGAACTCTAGGTTTCTAAGATGTACTTTTTTACGAGGTTGAGGAACTGTATTTATATTTTAATATTGTTGAAGTTTTTTTTCTAACATCATTGGCTGTGGAATTTTAACAATGCTTTCTAGAACATATACTGATGCTTCATGCTATTTTCCATTAATCAACTAATGAACTATATTAAGTTTTTATTATATGAAGTTTTAAGTATATTAAGTTATATATTTATATATAATATATACTAAGTTTATAATAAGTTTTAACTATAATAAATTATTATACATCATTACACTCCTTGATGTATAGTCCTTATTTACAGTATATTTTTTGTTTACTATATATATTTATTATGTTTCTAATTTGTTTTATGGTATTTGATTAATGATTATTTTATTTTCTAAGGAGAATATCTGATGAAACAAAATACATGTAGTTTTATGCAACTGTCCCAAGACCAATATTTAAAATAGTTCAAGCATATCACCAAACTAAATATTTTTTCATTGCTAAGAATATTATGCACAAAATTTTTGGTAAAAGAGTGAGTCATTCAATGCCTTTACTGTTTTGTGCCAATCTAATTTACATGTTCTTAACTTCTGTAATATTAATATAGTTCCTTTTGATTATACAAATAAAGTAAGTGCCACATTAGAATATACTGTGCTTCTGTAATATGTCTTACTATGTGGTGGTGTAAGTCCTCCAGTTTTCTTCTTAAAGATTCTCTTGACTATTATGGAATCTCTTCATGGCTATGTGAACTTTATGATCTGATAAACAATTACTGCAAAAGAAAAAGAAAGATTATGGTGAAATTATATAGTATATATAACATTAATGTGAGGAGAATTGTCATCTTTATAATATGAGTCTGATAATTCATGAATATGATAGACTCATCCATTTATTTAGGTGTTTTTTTTAATTTCTCTGAGCAATGCTTTTTTTAGTTTTTGTGTGGAGGTCCTACCATTTTTATGATAGATTTATTCCAAGAAATTTGATATTTGCCAATACAATATTAAATGATATTGTCTATTAGCCTACCACTAAACAAAGAAGAGTTAGTGTAGATATATTAATATCAGACAAAGTAGACTTTAAGTCTAGAAGCATTATTAAAATGAAAGACATTTGATAATAATACAATTATTATTTTACAATAAGGTAAAATCAGAGTACCTTATACAAATCCTAAAGTTGCGAACATTTAACATATGCCTAAGTAATTAATAAAATAAAGAAGAGAGAGGGAAAGAGAGGGAGAGGGAGAAAGACAGAGAAAGAGAGAGAGACAGGGAGAAACTAGTGTTTATTTGACTTCAGTGGTTAACCATAGAGCTAAAACTGGTATGAGTCTTTTCTTTCTTTCTTTGTTCTTTCCTTTCTTTCTCCCTTCCTCCCTCATTCTTTCTCTTCCTCTAACTCTCTTTTTCTATCTTTTCTTTTTTGTGAAATTTTATTTATAACTTTTTAGTGTTTATTTATTTCTGAGAGAGAGACAGAGAAAGAGAGAGAGAGAGACAGAGCATGAGCATGGGAGAGGCAGAGAGAGAGAGGGAGACACAGAATCCATAGCAGGCTCCAGGCTCTGAGCTGTCAGGACAGAGACGGACCTGGGCCCGAACCCTTGAACCATTAGATCATGACCTGAGTCAAAGTCGGTAGCCCAACCAACTGAGCTACTCAGGCACCCTGAAACTTTTTATTTAAATTAATAGTTAATATATAGTGTAATATTAGCTTCAGGGCTGTAATACAATGAGTCAACATTTCCACACAACAACCAGTGCTCATCACAAGGGCACTCCTTAGTTCCCACCACTTATTTCACCCATCCCCTCATTCCCCTCCCCTCTGGTAACCATCAGTTTGTTCTCTATAGTTAAGAATCTGTTTCTTGGTTTGCCTCTCTCTATTTTTCTTGCCCTTTGCTCATTGGTTTGCTTCTTAAAGTCCACTTATGAGTGAAATCATATAGTATTCATCTTTCTTTGACTTATTTTACTTAGCATAATAGTCTTTAACTCAATCTAAGTTGTTGCAAATAGCAAGATTTCATTCTTTTTATGACTCAGTTAATATTCCTACACACACACACACACACACACACACACACACACACAAAACACTTCTTTATTCATTCATCAGTCAATGGACACTTGGGATGTTTCCATAATTTGGCTATTGTAAATAATGCTACAATAAACATTGGGATGCACATATCCCTTTGAATTAGTATTTTGTATTCTTGGGGTAAATACCTAGTAGTGCCATTCCTGGATTGTACAGTAAGTTATTTTTAACATTCTGATGAAACTTCATACTATTTTTCTGAATGGTTGCACCAGTTCGCATTCCCACCAATAGTGCACTATTAACTAGAATTTAAGTAAAAAGTGAAACAAAAAAAGTGAAAAGATGGTTCCTTTGGAAATTACATGGACTAAATACTCCAATAAAAGGACACAGGGTAGAGTGTAAGAATGGGAAAAAAAAAAAAAAGACTCATCTATATGCTACCTGTAAGAGGCTCATTTCAGACTGAAAGACACCTACAGATTGAAAGTGAGGGGATGGAGAAACATTTATCACACAAATGGATGCCAAAGAAAGCCAGAGTAGCACTACTTATATCAGACAAACTAGACTTTAAAACAAAGAATGTAAACAGAGACAAAGAGGACATTATATAATCATAAAGTGGACAATCCAATAAGAAGATATAACCATTGTAAATATTTATGTAACCAACATTAAAGCACTCAAATATATAAAATAATTAATAACAAACATAAAGGTACTAATTGATACTATTATTGTACTAGTACAATAATAATAGGGCATTTTAACACTCCACTTACATCAACAGACAGATCATCTAAACAAAAAAAATCAATAAGGAAACAATGCCTTTGAATGACATGCTGGACCAGGTGGATATAACAGATATATTCAGAACATTCCATCATAAAACAGCAGAATACACATTCTTTTCAAGTGTACAAGGAACATTTTCCAGAACAGATCACATATAAAGTCACAAAACAAGCCTCAAGAAATGCAAAAAAACTGAAATCAAACCACGCAACTTTCCTCATTACAATGCTATGGAACTAGAAATCAACCACAACAAAAGATTTGGGAAGACCACAAATACATGGAGGGTAAACAACGTGTAACTAGGGGCACCTGGGTGGCTCAGTCAGTGAAGTATCAGATATTTGATCTTGGCTCAGGTCATGATCTCATGGTTCATGAGTCTGAGCCCAGTGTCAGACTCCTCGCTGATAGTGTGAAGCCTGCTTGGGATTCTGTCTCTCCCTCTCTCTGCCGGTCCCCTACTCTTTCTTGCTCTCTCTCTCAAAATAAGTAAGTCCATTTAAAAAACAAAACAAAAAGCAACATGTTACTAAAAAATGAATGGGTCAACCAGAAAATCAAAGAAGAAATAAAAATACATGGTAACAAATGAAGATGAAGACACAATAGTGCAGAACCTTTGGGATGCAGCAAAAGAGGTCTTAAGGGAGAAGTATATAGCAACATTTTTAAATGTTTATGTGTTTATTTTGAGAAAGAGAAATAGCAAGCACCAAGGGGGTAGAGTCAGAGAGAGGGAGACAGAGAATCCCAAACAGCCTCCACACTGACAGATCTCACCAATCCTGAGATCATGACCTGAGCCAAAATCAAGAACAGGCCGCTTAACTGACTGAGCCACCCAGGCACTCCCATACAGACCTATCTTTTAACTTGTCAACCATTAATTGACTTTTGAGGTTTTCTTATGTTCTTGTCCAGTCAACGATTCATTTAAATTTATGTTTTCATTATTTTTATCCAATAATTTAATATTACAAGGAGTTTTCTCATGTATGTAACTGTCCATAATGACAGAAAACGAAAGTGGAGTTTTCTTCTACATTTCAGTAAAATATGAAATCAAAACTGGAAGAGTGTTGGTCATTTGCTTTTATGATACGGCAAAAAAAAGTAGGGGAAGTGAGTTTCTGTGTTTTCCTCATGAATTTGCTACTTATAAGGTGAGATTTTTTTGAGAAAATAGGAATGGCAATAATAGTAACAGTTATAAACACTGTTCCAATAAATAAGTAAATAAATAAATGAATAATGGTTCTTCTAAGCCTACAATTTTAGATTGATTACAAATTGCCTAGTCATCAAAAACTACAGCTTAATATTAATATAAAACTTTGTTACTTTAGCTTTTAATTGTTCATATTATAGATAAACTGGTTCATGCTTTGTCATTTAAAACCATTTATAAGCCCATTTCTAGGCCAAAATCTCATATGCAATCTTTCAGGCTGAGCTATAGGCAATACAACACAGGCCTCAAGAAGGGAAGTTGACTTGACCTCACTCACCTGGGATACAGTCAGTGTATGTGCTTTTCCAGATGGAGCTATAGCCAAAGACTTAATCATGCTAGCCTAACCCTACTCATATGAATTTCTATCCCAGTCACTCTCTTTAGGTCTAATTGGCTAGTCTTTTCAGACACCTCTTTCTTGGGGGGCATTCACTGAGACATTTTTCCCCCATCTGTACTACATGTTACCTGATCAAAGGGAAGCTGGCAGTTTTCTCATTTGCCTCTTGACTTTTTCTATTGTTTATTTATTTTGAGAGAGAGAGAGGGAGAGAAAGATTGTTTGTGCACACACAATTCAGAGAGGGGGAAAGAGAGAGGCAGAGAGAGAACCCAAATAGGCTCTGTGCTGTCAGCACAGAACCCCATGCAGGGCTTGAACCCAAAAACCTTGAGATAATAACCTGAACTGAAATCAAGAGTTTTAATGTTTAACCTACTGAGACATGCTGGTGCTCCATGGATTAAAGTTTGATTGTCACTTTCAGTTGGGCTCACTATGCTATTGACCACTGTATAACCGGTACAAATATTTTTATCAAAGTATTGGTAACAGACCCCTTAATGATAATATGGCTTAATAATGCTTAACTTAAGTTTACATAAAATCAGAACTTTAATATAAATTCTTAAGCAGAATAAATGCTACACTGAACAGTATTAAATGTTTTATTTAAATGACCTAATAAATTTTGATTACTTAATATATCATATTAAGCCACTGTTATTCAGGATGTTGATGAAAGAATGGATTTGGTCATAGGCACAAATAAAAATGTTGTTTATAATCAAAACATATTCTAAGATACAAATAAGTATTATTAAAATTGATAATATATCAGCTGCAGGGATGGGTGAAATAGTTGCAATGAATTAACAGGTACAAATTCACAGCAATAAGATAAATAAGCTTAGAAAAGTTAATATACTGGGGCACGTGGGTGGCTCAGAACTCACAGTTCACATGATTCATTGGGCTCCATGCTGATAGTGTGGAGCCTGCTTTGGATTCTCAGTCTCCCTCTCTTTCTGCACCTTCCCTGCTCATACACATGCTCTCTGTGTCTCAAAAATAATAAACATTTTTAAAAGTAAATTTAAAAAGCTAATATAGTAATGTATTACTCTTAAAACTGCTAAACAAGGTCATTAAGCAATTACTGAGAAAAAAGGATGAAACAATTATTAATTTTTTCATCTCTTGTTGAGGAAGTGGTAGGGATACAATATAGAGTGATTATATTTTTATATTTGTATGGATCATTTACTAGTCTATAACTGTACCTTTGAGCACTCAATAAAACCTTTAATCAATCAAACATACTCCTTAGCAATATACCCAGTGCAAAATGGTTTATCATAACATTCCTGCAACTTAAGCA